GTTTACGTATATTATAATTTTGTACACGTAATTTTCATGTAATTTTTTATATTATTTATATAACAAATAATCAGCAATTTCCGTTAATTAACCTGTCATGTCAGCCAAAAATTAACGGAAGGACCAAAAAGGGCCGAATTTGTGAACAGTAAGGACCAAAAAGGGAATTTTCTCGGTATAGGGACCAAAAAGGGGCTTTTTCCTATAGTAGAGGGACCAAAAAGGGTATTTAACCTAAAAAATAAAAAAAATGATAATTGATATATCTTCTAATTTAATATATTTTATAATATATTTATTATATAAATATTATTTTTAAATTTAAATTTAAAATAAAAAAATTTAACTTATATAATTTAATAATTAAACTAATAAATATTAATAACTGTATTGAATAGCATAATATACTAATCCTTACTGAAAGCAAAATTATCCGCAATAACCATGCCCCTTGAGATTACTTGCCTCTGGATACCAGTAGACATATCCTCATGATGATTAACCATGATTTCTTTTGGAATTGATTTTCGGATAATTTTTTTAATCATTTTTTTAGTATAATTATACATATTATTTAAATAATTAATTTTTTTATTCATGTGAAATTCATGATATTGAATACATTCACTCATTTAATGATATATAAAAAATGTATAAAAAGGTGATATAAAAAAAATTGTATCTATAGCACCGCCTATTTGTTTTTAATAAAACCACAAAAATAATAAAAAAGGAATAGTTATAATTTAAATAATATTATAAATTTATAACACAATATATTATTATATAATTAATTTAAATTATTTAAAAGTGTATGAGTGATATTATTATAAATTTATAACATAATATATTATTATAAATTTATAACATAATATATTATTATAAATTTCATACATTATATTAGTATAAAATTTTAATAATTTATCTTTTTACTTTTAATGATTAAAATTTATTTACATTTATTAAAAACAATTTTTTAATCTAAAAAACGAAATAAATATCAACTATTAAAAGTAAAAATATAAATAATTAATGTTTTATATAAATGTGATATATAAATATGATATATAAATTTTGTATAAGTGGATCATTCCTCATTTTACCATATTCTCATCAAATTTCTTATATGTATAATAATCTTAAGAGTGAGAAAATTAAAATGTGGAAACATCTAATTGCAACTATTAAATACAACGGATATAATATGATTTTTAATTTTATTAAATTCATTTTATTACTATTATTAAATGTTTTGATATTTTTAATAGTATGCCACCTTGATTTTCTCTTATCCCAATAATATTAATTGGAAAAAAAATTGAGAGACAATTTTTTTTTTTGGTAACTTATTATCATATTTTCAATTACTAATATTATATATTTTTATTTTAATTAACTATTATTCTTTTTAACTTATTAAAAAAATAAAATTTTGAGAAAAAAAATATAATGTAAGAATATCATAAATAATTATATTGAAAAGGTGTGACAATAATCTAATTTTTTATATAATTTTTTCATGTAATTTTATATTTTATTTAATAATTAAGTATTTTCGTTCTATTAAAACCTATAATATTACATAGATGGTAGATGTACTCATTATAGAAGCTATGTACAAAAATTGTACACCTATAATTACCATCCCAACTTAAATGCGAACCCAACATGCAATTTTATTTTCCCTTTCTTCCATAAACAATGTGGAATTCAACTTGATCCTTAATTACAAGACATAAACAAAAGAAAAAAGAAAAGAAAAAATTGTGAAATTTAGATTATAACAAATTACTTAATATTAATTATTAAGTAAAAATCAAGTTTTTGATATTTGAAATTCTTTTTAATTTGATGATCTTTGTTTTATGATTTAATCCCAAAATAAAATTTAAAAACCCCACAATCCATAACCCCAATGAGAAAACCTTGTCTTGGCAAATTGGAAATTGTGCAGAGTGTTTTTGCAATACAATATTTAAGCAGGCTATGCTTGGTATGGGCGGTGGGAAATTTTTTTGGATTTAAAAATTTTTTACTTTATTAAATATTATAATTTATAAAAAATATTATAATTTTTTATAAATTAATATTTTATCCATTCCATTACAAATTTTAAAAATACCAAATTAATACTTTTCCATAAAATTTTCATTTGGATTTTAATAAAATTAATATATTATTTTTATTTTATCTTTATTTTTTTCATTTAAAAAAATAATTTTATCAATAATTTTTTTTCAACAAAACTTTTATTAAAACCTCCGGTCAGACAAACGGACACTTAATTAGAGACATGCAACCGAACGAACTGAATAAAAATAGTGCTGCATTTGGTAAGTGATAGCAAGCTGGAAATTAATCCTTTTCTCCAATTGATTTTTTTTTTTTTTTTATCTACCCCTGGGGTTTCAAAATACAGAATTTTACCTCAAGAGAGAAAAGAAAAGCAAAAATTAATGTCCAACTCTAGCATTACTTCCTCTGATTCCTAACTGGACTTTATCTGAGAAAATTCTAACTTCATTTTTTGTTGAAGATTCACAAAAAGTTACCAATAACCAAGACGAGGTGTTTGTTTTTTCTTATATTTTACCACCTGAGAAAAGGCTCATCTAAAGCATTTATGGTCCGTTGTGCTTTCTAACTTCTGTCTCCCATGTTTCTCCGGCCGAGCTTCCCCCTGCTACTCCATATGAGGTTGCGGCCAACCCACCTCCCCCGAAGGAGGTGAGGAGAGCTGACAGTCCGCTTGTCGAAGTATCCCCGGCACCAATGCCGAGGCCAAGAAGATCAAGCGTTCGCTGTTTGTTTCCAAACAGCGCCGATGAGCACATCATTGAATCAGTAAAGCAAGAACTTCCAAATGATGGCAGCCCCAGCCCGAGAGAATCCGCCATTGAATTGCTCTCCAGTTTCACGTCGGCGTCTAGGCCGGCAGAGGAAGCAGACGACACTGCGAATCCTAGGCCGCGAAGTAACGATGGGTTTGACGAAGCTGCACCCATTTGGGCTGCCCTTTGCAGCAACGCAGTGGCGGAAATGGTTGGCTGTCGATGAGCGTACTGGCAGTGGTCATTGTCGCGCGTAGGGAACAGTGAGGAACCATTGCTGGATAGGTAGAGAGGTGATGACAGAGAAAGGGAGTTGCGTCCCAAAGCCGTTACAGATTGAAGAACCAAGGGTTCCGTGGGCGGCAGCATTTCGGATGGCTGTCGTGGGTTGGCCGCAAAAATGCTAGTAAAAGCAGTGCTGCTCGACCCGAACGAGGAAGTCGTTGAGGCCGCTGCCGGAGTAGGCGGCGAAACTCCCACCGGGTTATCTGGGATTTCTATCAGCACAAACAAGGACAAGAAGGATTAGATTGAGAATCGTGTCGTAATCCCAGGAAATCGCAAAGCTAACAAAAAGTGGGGCTTTTAATATCTTTATTTCTTTACATTTTTTTCCTAAAATTTTAGAGCTTCAGAATAAAAGCAGAAGCAATAATGTGTCCTTTCTCTCCTCTTTTCGATATTTGAGGTTACTTTTGACTGTATAAACCAACACTCGTGAAGCAAAACTCTGTAAAAAGTAAAAACCTCTCCTTTCTCTCTCTCTCTCTCTC